TACAGTTGTTCATTTAGTGACTGTTCTAAAATGAAATCAGCACTAAAAAAAAGGTGGCTTATGACCGTTTTTCACATTTAACGATGGTTGCAGCATCCCCCTGGGCACGTGATCAAAATTCAGGCGCTTGTCAACTCACTCGTCTTTACGACAGTCGCAGTGTCCTGGGGTCACGTGATCCCCCTTTTGCGACTTTCTGACAAGCAAAGTCAATGGGGGATCCGGGTTCACTTAGCAACCATTATCAGCTGCAGTGATTCACTTAACAACTGAGGCAATAAATAAAACAGGGAGAAACTCACTTAACAACTGTCTTGCTTAGCAACAGAAATTTGGGGCTCCGTTGGGGTCGTAAGTCGAGGACTACCTGTAGCGTAAAGGGACAATTTACAGTGTGTCATTTTAAGTCCAAATTAAACCCTGGGAAATTGCATTCAGGGTTTCTTGTATAATAAGTATTTTGGATTGCCGCTGAAGGGGTCGGTTGCCTATATCTTGCCTGCTTGTGAATCAGACGTGTATCTGTCAACAAAGAGGCTGGTTTTTGGCACAGAAACAGGGCTATTGTAATAGCTCACCTACTGTTCTCAGTACACAACGCCTGCCTAGTTTTGTGTGTGACAAGGATCGAGTGTAAAACAGGATTTTATAACATAAACATGGAAGTGGATTGCAGGAAATATTACTAAACATTGCTTTCTCACTGCACCAAAGCTGAGAGTAGCGCTCGCAATCGATGGTGCGATTGGAAGGAAGCTCCTTCTGGCTCGGATCTGATGGCCATTTTAGTTCCTCCTGGGTGTCTCTAAGTCCCCTGTATTACTTGCTGGCTCCGGCGAAGCCCCTGTTCCAGAACCTGCTTGTTTGCTATGTACAGCTGTGCATAACCTGGTCTTTCAGAAAACCCCTGCCTCATTTTAATTCCTTACATGGGTGGGGCATCCTTTGCCTCCCAACCAGGGATTAATCGCATAATTGCAACTGGCAGTCAGGAGCTTTTAAAGCCATTGGGGACCTCTGTCCTCTGAATCAACCTTGCAGACTCTCCTGTTTGTAATGTACCTTCCTTGAATGGGAGATAGGCAGCCCTTTGCATTTCTCTCAAGTAGGCTTCTTGGAAAGCAGCAGTCCAAATTTGAAGATGCTAAGACGCTGAATTGCTCACCAGCAGGTAGATTGATGAAAACCTTCCTGCAGGTACCAAGAAGGATAATTTGTGTCCCCCTCCTGGTTTCTTAGCTTTATGATGGCTTCCAGATTTCCATGCCAGCTTTCTTTCCACTCAATGCCTTCTCGTTTAAAAAAAGAGAACCATTAAACTTTCTTGAACTTAAAATAACCGGGCACTCTGGGATTTATGCGTCAGGCTTTCTCGTAAGCTTGTAATCTTTACTTCAGGCCCAGTAAGATAAACCAAAACCGAAAAGGCAGGGGAAGAGAGTCTGTTTGCTAAACACCAGATGAGATTCTGGCACAGGCAAGTTTTAAACCAGAATCAGGTTGTTTAATTGCTTTCTTTGGGAAGAAAATGCTCCCATATTGAAGGAGATACAGGTAATCCTTGATTTATGACCACAGTTGAGCCCCAAACTTCTGTTGCTGTAAGCAAGGCCATTGTTCAGTGTGTTTTCCCCATCTTCTGACCTTTTGCCACAGTTATTAGAGAATCATGCGGTCTTTAAGTGAGAATCTGGCTTACTCCATTGATTTTGCTGTTGGAAGCCGGCTGGGAAGGTTACAAATGGTGATTACACGACCCTTTGATCACGTGACCACGGGGGAACGCAGCAGTGGTCATAAGTGTGAAAAACGGTCATGTCTCTTCAGTGCCGTTGTGACTTGGAATGGTCACTAAATGAACTGTTGTAAGTCGAAGACTGCCTGTAATCACAGAGGCACTGTCAAAGCAGTTGGTGGACCTATATTTTTTAGCACTTGTGCTTTGGATTTGGATACTTACAGTGACCAGGTGTTTCATTCATACCACCCTCTCCCCATCCTCAGGTTGCAAAAAAAAACCCGCCTTAGCCATTCGTTGCAGGTCATTTATAGCCCTTTGCAATCAGGAAATATAATTTCAACCCATTTCTGCAGGGGCCTGAGGTTAGGACAGGGTTCTAGTAATTATACTTTTAGCTATCGTTATCTCCCCACAGCATCTCGGAGCAATTAAAATCCACCACAAAGGGATCCTATAAACAGCTACAGCCACACGGTTATACGTGATAGAGAAAGCAGAAAGGCAGAATGTTATTCACCACCGTTTCTGCCTCAGTTTGTTTTTCTAGTTGTAACCTCCGCTGCTGGTTTATTTGCTCTGGAGTTCTTTCTGCCTCTTTTAGCAATTTAAAAGAGCTTTAGTAGTTGGAAGGAACCAAGGGACACGAACGATCGAACTGCTGGCGGTGGGCAGAGTTAGTCTGCCATACTCATTTCCCTTGAATGCAGGGCAAATGTAATACAAAATCACACTTTCCTCAGTGTTTTGGGGTCTTTGGTGCTCCCTGAGCTGTGTCAGTTTTCTTGCAGACCTCTCATTACCCAATTAAGTAACCTTATCAGTGCTGGAAGGGAGGAGAAGGACTGTGGGGTCCTTGGTGCTTTGTGAGCGCGGTTGTTTCCTTGCAGGTGTTTTAGGACCCAGATTATCGTTTCTAGAAGGGGGAGGACGAAATGACTGTGGGGGTTTGGTGCTCTTTGAGCTCGGTTGCTTTCTTGCAGACGTTTTGTGACCAAAATAGGTAACCTCATCAATGCTGGTGAAATCATTGCCTGGACTCCGTCCCCGTCTATGCTTTGAGTCTTCCATCAAGTATTTCTTTCCTGGTAATGCGGTCTTCGGAGTTGCGCTTTTCCTCTTCTCTAACCTTTTCTCTCTCCTTCCACTCCCCACCAGGGTTGAGTACTGAAGGGATCTACCGGGTGAGCGGAAACAAGTCCGAGATGGAAAGCTTGCAGCGGCAATTTGACCAAGGTAGGACCTGCAGCCTCTGCGCTTTTCCCCGAGAAGGGAGAGGCAGTCCAGGAACGCAGTCACGGTTTGCGGGGAGGCGGATTGTGGGTGGTGGGGTGGGGGTGGGGGACTCTTGATTTTAACTTTTTTTCTGGAAGGCCAACCAACCTGGAGACAGAGGCACCTCCAATGGGCGGCCATTCCAGAGGGGTCCCCTTGCGGAAGCCCCCTTGCGGAAAAACACGGCTCCCAAAGCGGGGGACAACCTGCTACTTTTCCCAGCAGGATCATAACACACAGGCAGTCCTTGACTTACGACCACAGTTGAGCCCACAATTTCTGGGGCTAGGTGAGCTTTGCCCACGTTTTACGACCTCGGTTGCTGCAGTTGTTAAGCGAGTCATTGCAGCTGTTCAGTTAACAACACCGTTGTTAAGAGAATCCAGCTTCCCCGTTGACTTTGCTCGTCAGAAGGTCACATAAGGTGACCCCGGGAGCCCTGTGACGATCATAAATATGAGTCAGTTGCTGAATTTTGATGACATGACCAAGGGGAGGTTGCAGTGGACGTAAATGTGAAAAATAATCATAAGTCATTTTTTCCTATTGAGATAACTTTGAACAGTCACTAAATGAAACCTTTGTAAGTCAGGGACTGCCTGTAATTGGAGAGATTCTGGTCTTAAGAGATAGCAATAGCATTTAGACTTATATACCCCTTCACAGTGCTTTCCAGCCCTCTCTGAGCGGTTTACAGAGTCAGCCTCTGGCCCCCAACCATCCGGGTCCTCATTTAATCCACCTCGGAAGGACGGGAGGCTGAGTCAACCTGGAGCCGGTCAGGATTGAACTGCTGGCAATTGGCAGAATTAGCCTGCAGTACTCCATTCTAACGGGAGGGGAGGGGAGGGGAGGGAAGGGAAGGAAGGAAGGAAGGTTGGTTTACAGAGTCAGCCTCTTTGCCCCCAACAATCTGGGTCCTCATTTTTACCTACCTCGGAAGGACGGAAGGCTGAGTCAGCCTGGAGCCTGGTGGGATTCGATCTGGCAAATTGCAGGCAGCCGGCAGTCAGCAGAAGTAGCCTGCAGTACTGCACTCTAACCACTGCGCCACTCTCAAAGTGTCAAGGGAAATGAGTGGCCACTAGGGTCCCTCTTTCCAATTGTCCAGCCTCCTTTGAAGGAACTTTTTAGCTGGGGCCTCCCCCCTCCCCCTCCCGCTTCTGCTGGTCTTTCCTTTGCAGTTCTTTGATAGGCAGGCCTAACCGCTGAGTCCTCTCCTCACAGATCATAACCTGGACTTTGCTGAGAAGGACTTCACTGTGAACACTGTGGCTGGAGCCATGAAGAGCTTCTTCTCCGAGCTGCCCGATCCTCTGGTACCCTACAACATGCAGATTGAGCTGGTGGAGGCCCACAGTGAGTAGGATGTGCTGCCGGCCCCTCTTAGAACCCGCCAAAGGGAGAAACCCCTCGTGCTCATTTTTGAAACAGGACCCACAAAGAGGACTAGCGACACTTGCTTGCGAGCTGTTGAACTTCCAAATTGCGTGTGTCCTGGAATGTTGTTGCCATAGAGCAGAGATCCCCAAACTTGGCCACTTTAAGACTTGCGGACTCCAACTCCCAGAATTCCCCAGCCAGCTAGGCCTGCTTTTCTCTCTCTCTTCGTCTCCTAAAGTGGAGAGAGATTGCAGAGGAAGGGATCGCAAGAGAGTAAGCTCTGCCGGCTGGGGGATTCTGGGAGTTGAAGTCCACCAGTCTTAAAAGTGGCCCAGTTTGGGGACCCCTGCCGTAGAGCGATGGGATTCCGTGGCTCCACCTAGAGTCAGAAACGAAAACAGAATGGAAAACGGACAGCTGAAGCAGCATCTTCTAAGCTTTCCCCTGCTTTCTTCATTATCTTGGTTAATCCACTCAGAATTCTGGGAGTTGAAGTCCCACCGCCCATCTTAAAGAAGCCAAGATTGAGCATCCCTGGTCTGGGAAGCCTCTGTTCTGTTTCCAAGCTTCCCTGCCAATGTTGAAGTCCAAACAGACCCCCCACTTCCCCCCCCCCCCCCTTTGAGCCAGCAATGCCGCTGTTGACAATCCCGGATTTCACTGCAGATGCACTTAAAATTGTCGGAGCTCCAAATGGCTCTTTAAATATTTAACTGTGTGGTCTATCTAAGTGGAGTTTGGCGTCTCTGCTTTAGAAGCCGTCTCGGAGGGACTCCTGACAAAAGATGCCTTTTGCTTTGGTTGCTCTAAAAGATGCTTTTTAAAAAAAAATACAAAAAATAATAATAATAACGAAGCTCAGAGCGCTATCCTCTCCCAGCGATGGATTCACCCAGTGACGTTGGTGCATTTTTAAAAGAAAAAAACTGCAGGACAGAAGCAAAGTCTCCTGTTGACTTAAGGAGCCGGCTTCTTCGGCACGCAGCCTCCGGTAGTATTTATTGTGGCTTCTGCCACAGACATCCTTAATGCAGCCCTTTCAAACAAAAATCAGAGAAGTGTGGTTTAACTTTATCACCGTCAACATCTTGGGCTATTATTGTAAGGTGTTAGCAAGTACGAATTAAAAAGCAGAGATGCGATAAGTGGAAGAATTCACCATCGTGCTATCAGTGCAGATAATAAAATAGCAAGGAACCTAACTATTAAAGCTAATTAACAGGGTCGTAAAGAGTTGGTAAATAAAAATGCAAACGGGTATGTGCTAATACTAGGCTGCTAAGCAAAGTGCTGTGTGTGTCTGTGTGTCTGTGTGTTTTGTGCTTCTTCCATTCCGTTGTGTCTTCATTCTGGAGACCGCCTTGGCTAGTCCCTGCAGTTTTCTTGGCAAGGTTTTCCAGAAATGGGTTGCCATTGACTCCTCCGTAGGGCAGAAAGAAAATGACCGGCCCAACATCACCCAGCTGGTTTTGGGCTGAAGGCCGGACTATGCCTGGCTCAAAGCATGACATCACTCCAAACAAAACAACGTGGTGAATTCTCCAACACCGGAAGTTTTTAAGAAGAGACTGGACAGCCATTTGTCTGAAATGGGATAGGGTTTCCTGGCTAAGCAGGGGGTTGGACTAGAAGACCTCCAAGGTCCCTTCCAACTCCATGATTCTATATCGTATTCTATATTATACCTGGATTTTTCTGTGAGCACTTGGGAAGACTTGGTTACTCCAAGGACCGCGGAGGAGCTAATTTCCCCCTTCCTGGTTTAAATAGAACGGATTTCATACGATGTGAGGCTTTGGCCTAGGAGTTTAGCCCAGGTCCACGTCAGTTCAGTCCTGCCAGCAATTTGAGGTTCTTGGGATTTGGGGAAGGAGAATGCAAAAGAAAGTTGTCTGATAAATGTAGGTTTATAGTACCTGATACCCCTTGTGGTAGTTTTTGGGGAAGGGAATTAATTTTAACGGCCGTATGTTCCTTGTAATCTTCAGCAGATATGGCCGAATAAACTTCTCGGGTATTTTGACTGCCGTTTGTAAGGCTTTTGTAAGGCTTGTACAGCTGTCCTTCTTAGCTTGCCCGCTTCCCTAGAACAACTTTGTAGGGGCAACCCTGGCTGGTATTTGGGGGGGGGGGGGGGGCGGGGGGGGCGTGGGGGAGGCCGGGGTAAGCGGGTTTATTCCCTAAGCGGGAGCTGCTCCTGGCCCCACCTGGATGAGCCCCGAGGGCGACAAGAACCCCCCTACACCTTCTTCCTTTTCTCCCCTTCCGCAGAGATCAACGACCGGGAGCAGAAGCTGCACGCGCTCAAAGAGGTGCTGAAGAAGTTCCCCAAGGAGAATTACGAGGTCTTCAAATACGTCATCTCTCACCTGAACAAGTAAGCGGCCCCTGGCTCCCTCGGAGGTGGGCTGGAGCCCCCCCCCCATGCCCCGGGTGCGCCTGGAAAGCTAAGCACGCCGGTCGTGGGACGAACCCCGCGGGGACAGCAGAAGCTCCCCAGGGGGATCCCCTTCCCCGACACTCCTCCTGGTTAAGCCGGGGTCCTTGCCCCTTCTTTTTCCCAGGGCCGTTGTAACTTCGGACAGTCGCTAAGTGAACGACTGTCAGTCAGGAACCGCCCGCAGTTGGGACTCCGCGTCCCCAGTTCCTGAGCTGCCCAGAGCGGGAGAGCGCAGGTTGCTCTGGGGAAGCGTCAGGCCCCCTCTGGGAGGGGTGGGGGCGAGGGGGCGGCTCTGGCCTCCTGTGACTGACCCTCCCCCGCCCTTTGTGCTTGCAGAGTGAGCCACAACAACCGCACCAACCTGATGACCAGCGAGAACCTCTCCATCTGCTTCTGGCCCACCCTGATGCGCCCCGACTTCAGCACCATGGACGCCCTGACCGCCACCCGCATCTACCAGACAATCATCGAGCTCTTCATCCAGCAGGGCTCCTTCTTCTTCTACAGCCGGCCCATCGTCGACCCCCCCGGCGCCACCCCCAGCTCCCCCTCGGCCCTGCCCGTCAGCGCCCCCTTCCTCTCCTCCACGCCCGTCCTGGCCCAGCCCTCCCCGCCCCAGACGCCGCCCCCCTCGCCCCAGTCCCCCCTCCAGTCCCTGCTCCCGCCGCCCCTCCAGGCCGAGCAGCACACACTGTGAACCCAGGCCGGGTCAGGAAGCAAGGCCCCTCCGTTGTGACGCAGAGGACGAGACGACCCGCCCCGGCGCCTCTGGGCCCGCCCTTCGCCTCCGCCGCTCGGCTCCAGACTTCCGTTGGGCCGAGCCACGGCGGACTGGCACCGTGGACCCCTCTGGAGCCTGGCTCGGCCTCGGGGCTGGCCTGGGAGGGCACCCTGGGGGGGGTCCCCCGCAGGAGGAGGCGGCTGGAGAGTCTGGAGCCCCCCCTTTCCACCGGGATCTCCTCGGACCCAAGCCAGAGAGGCCGGTTTAGCCCGGTTGGGGCGCTGGACCCGCTGCCTCCTTGGCCTCCCTCCGTGCGTGGACAGAGAGGACTGTGAAGCCAGAGGGGGGCTCCTCCCCTCCCCTGCCCCCCTCCCTCCCCAAGCCCATTCCAGGAAGGACGGAGGCCGCTCCTGCAGTGCTGGACATCTCACCTCAGGCCCTGTTCCTTTGGACCCGTCGGCTCCACCCCCAGGACAGCGGCTCAGAAGGAGAACTGGGCCCACTTAGCTCAAGCGAAGGCTGCCTGTGTCACGTCCTCTTTCTTGGCCGGAACGTCGGGCGGAGGGGGGGGCGCAGTCTCGGACACGCGGGGGGAGGAGGAAGAGTGCGGCGCGTTGGTGGCCGGCCGTTTCTTGGGCAGGGCAGGGCGGGGCCACCTCCCCGGCCGTGTTGTCTCCCTGGGACAAATCATGGCATCTCTCTCACCTCCCCTCCCTCCCTCCCTCCCTCCCTCCCTCGCCCTGGAAGGATGTTGGTGTTAGCACTTAGCAGAGGAGAGGAGTGGGGGGGGCGGGGGGGGCACATGTCCATTTGCAAAGAAGGTTCGCTGTTTTGTGGCTGGGCCTGGGGTCGGACTCCTTTGGAACACTACGTTGACAGAAACACTGTTGTGTGTGCGTGCGTGCGTGCGTGTGTGTGGGTCTGCTTGGGAGCAAGTGGGCAGGAGCGTTGCTGGCGAAGAGGGAGCGGGGCGAACCTGCAGGGGTCCCTTTCTTTTCACCCCCCCCCTTCCCCCCCAATCCCCTCCCTGGAAAGTGGGGCAAAACGAGGCGAGTGAGGAGCGCAGCGTATTTCGGGAGGCCGTTTCCGCTTGAGCCTCTGGGAGGAGCCGAGTCCACCGGGGCCCTGGAAGAAAAGGTGGCGGAAGAGGAAGGGGAAGACAGACCAGGGGTTTCCTTCTGGCCACCTGGGCGCAAGTGCCACCCTTGGGGCAGATCAGGGGCTGCTGCTGTCCCCGCCAGGAAGATGGCAGCCCTGCCCTGGGAGGAGAGAGAGGCTGAGGAGGGGGAAACGCTTCAGGCCCCTGGGCAGAGCCGGTGAGGCCGGTAGGGACAACCCCGAGTTCCTGCCACGGTGCCCTTTCCCGTGCCACCCCTTCCCTTGGCGCCTTCATGCGTGGCGGGGCCCCTGGGGGAAGAGACTGGCGGCCCAGGGGCATCTCACCTCTTGCCCTGGGAAGCCTTCAGCGGGTCCCGCCAGCCCTTCCCCCCTGGGGGCCTCCCCCTCTCCCTAGCCCAAGGTGGGCACCAAGCGGGGGGGGGCAGGGGGGGGGCTCTGATTTGGGAGGAGCTGCAGGCGAACCACTCGGGAGGACCCGGCCGGCGTTTCTGTGCCAGGGATGTGATTGTGTCTCAGCAGTGCCTGGTAAACTGCCCTGTTTGTGTGTCTGTGTGTGTTTGTGTGTGAGGGCGTGCGAGGGGCATAGTTGTTCTCATCAACAGGGCAGTTTGAACTGGAGTTTCCACGGTACCACTGGGGGAGGGGGGGGGGCGCGGGGGAGCGATCCCTAGGCCATCCTCACTACCTTTTCGCACTTTAAAATGAAACCTGTGGTTTATTGCTGTTTTTAAGCCTTTTCAAGGATACGTGTGTTACGTTCATTGGGTGGGAATGAAATTCCGGTCCTTCTCCCACCCCCCCTCAGCCCCCCCCCGCCCCAAAGTCTCTTCCACTTCCATTCTGCTTCCTGGTATCCAGAGCCCCCCCTCCCCTCCTCCTCTTCCTCCTCTCTTCCACAATCTCTCTCCCTCTCTCTCTCTCCCTCTCTCTCTCTTATAAATAAGCTGAATTATGTACTCCTTATTTTAGAACCACATTTAAAAGTTGTATCTGTGTCAGAATCGTGTGCTTTGAAAGCCCCTCTCTGCAAGCATTCCTCCCTCCTTTTTATAACCCTCGCCCGCCTTTTCTGTAAATAATGGGGAACGGTTTTGTTTTCGAGACTCCGACAAGGCCCCACGGCCCCACAACTCTACCCGCGCCAGGTGGAAAAAAACAACACACGAAACGTGTCAGGAGGCTGAGAAGGCTGGGAAAAAAAAATTCCCTTCTGACTTTTCTCCCAGGTGGGAAAAACACGGGGAGACCCCCAGAGCTGCAGCCTTTGGGCTCTGGATCCCAATGGAGGGCTGACATGGGCGTGGGGTGGGGGCTTCCCTTCGGCACACATCCAGTGCCGCTGTGCCTTCTTTGCGAGTGTGCTAAAAACCACCACCACGACCACCACCACCCCTGAATCGCTAGAGCAGCCCTTGACATCCGGGCCGGCAGCCTCGCCTTCCTTCATCTGCCCTTCGGCCCCCGGCTCCGACACCCAGCCCAGAGCTGGAACATGGGCAGGAGAGAGGAAGGACCGGAGGCTGCTTGGCCCACGCCCAGGTGAGCCTGTGGCCTTAAGATCACAGGAGGGGCGGGGCAGTTTCCCAGGTGTCTGAACCACCATCGGAGCATCCCTGCAGGGTGGCAGCCGCTTCGTACGCCCCCCCGTCGCCATTCCCTCTTCTTGGACCAGTTGGCATTGCACGGCCCTTGAAGTGGGCCAGGTGCCTCCCAACAACCTACCTCCCTTCTCAATTCCCGGGGCCTTTTTTAAAAAAAATATATTCTTTTGGCCGCACCTGTCTCGTCCAGAGGCGATGCGCCTTTCCCCCTATCCAGAGGACAGGTGGCCATCAAACAGGGCTGCTGCCGGCTGCCACCAAGACCGTCTTTTCTTGGTCCCTCTTCTGCCAGACGCTGCTGAGGGCCGGCTTTTCCATCGCCCCCCCGTCCCCAAGACGGCGGCAGCGTCTGCGCATTCAGCCGTGCGCCCCGGACAAGTTCCCCTTGCGCTTTTACGGACACGCCCAGCCACCGCAGCCTTGCTCCCTTCGAGCGCACGGCTGGGCTCGGTCCTTTGGCAGCAAGGGGCACCCAGCAAGCGGGGGGGGGTTCTCCATTCCTTAGGGAGGCCCCTCGGTTTTTTCCCCTTGCCCCGTGGAAAACCAGAAGCGCCTTGAGGCTCTCCAGCTCTGGGTCACCCACCCCCACCCCCACCCCCCAAAATGCAGGCTCTCGGGCTGGGCTGGGTTTTGAAAGCCTTGTCTGAAAAAAGGAAAGTTCTGAATCATTCGCCCTTCGGTGACTTAGCAGTTCAAAGTCTCCCTTCGCTTTTCTTTTAATTTTCCTAGAAGCGGATCACTTCTGACTTTGGTTCTCTAACCAGCCGGTGGCTTCCCCTAACACAGAAGGTCAGTTTGTCCCCAGCTCATCTGGTCAGTATTCTTCAGGGGTCCCGTTGGGGGGGGGTATACATTGCCCCTCGCTGCTCCTCTCGGTCGGCCGTAGTCTAACTGTTAGGTCAAATCCCCTCCCTCTCCTTTTGGTAAAATGGAAACACAATAGAGATATTGTATTCCAAATGTAGTTTAAAGCAGGGCGTAAGTTATTGTTTTAAAAGAATCTTAATTTCTTCCCCCCCCCCCCATGTATATTTAAAAAAAAAAGCCACAATCATTTCTGAAATTGTATGGAAATAAAACTTCTGAAAAGTTGGGTTTAGTTCTGCAGTCAGCTTTTTTTCCCCACCCCCCGGTACTTGTATTTCCACATTGTAAAATTATCTCTATATATGTTGGATTAACATTTTAATTGAAGAAGACAATGATGAACGGTGACAAAACGTGGTAGTAGTTCCAGCTAAACCTGTGCCCCCCCCAAAAAAAAAACACTTGAGAAAAAGCAAGCAAAAATTACCGAAAAGACCTGTATGTAAAAAAAGAAAAAGGAAAAAAAAGTATAATGGTTATTTCTCTGTATTTTTAGGAGCCGAACGACATCCTTTAGTTATTGGTGATAGACTATATTTCCTTTTTATGCTTCTATTAAGGACGTTTTTAACTCTTTGTGGTTCTTTCTCTTCCCCCCCCCTCTCAGCCCATCCAATTAGTGCATGAAATTGTTGAAATCTCTGGGCAAACCAAGAAAAGCTCCCCCCTTTTTGCTGAATTTAAAGAGGAAAAAAAAAATCATGTTATTTGCTACAGAGTATTGTATGTGTCTCAATGGGAATGGTGTAAAAACTTAAAGGCCTTATGTGATATGTATCATAGTTAATAAATCAATCTTGTTAAAAAAAATGTGTTGTTTTTTTTCCCTTGCTTGTCCTGCATGCTTTTGTGGGCTTCTGTTCAGTTTGTCTCAATCTGGGCTGTGGACGATGGGTGGCAACGCAGGCTGGAGAATTCTGGGAGTTGAAGTCCACAGGTCTTAAAGTGGCCAAGTTGGGGGACTCCTGTTCTATAAGGAGGTTCAGGGATGACTTAAAAAAAAGAGCAAAACTTTTACACAATGTAGCTGCTGCCCTCCAGTGTCCAACGGATGCGTTCTTAGCTTAAAGGCCATCTCTGCATCACCTTTACCTGCCCGGATAGGTGTTTATTTTTATTCAGATTTCTTTTTTATGGCTGCCCAATTTAAACGCCGCCGCTCTGGTCAGTGCCAAACTTATTAAACTCTAAAACAAGCGGTAAAAAATCCAAAATATGACAACCCTCTCCTGTTAAAAGAGACCCCAATCGGGTTCAAAGCTTAAAGGAAAAGGGACACATTTTTACTGCTTTTCCGAAGGTCAAAAGGGAATTTAACTCCCTCAACCAGTGGCAGCAGTTTTAAACTTAGGATGCCACATTGGGTTTGCCAAAGTTAAAACTAACTGGGGTTGGTCTTGTTTACGTGAGTTTTTGCACATCTTTGGACCGCCAGTAACTTCTTGGGATAGATGTGCACAGGTGAAACTCAAATGTAAACCCTGCGAATTAGGAAGCTGCAGAGTTTGAGGGGGAGGAAAGGAAATGAGAGGGAGGGGAGTGATCTTTGACCAGGACACCTCCCCCTCTATTGAAGCTGGGAAGGGCCTGTGTTTGTAAGCACCCCTTCTTCGCTGTGTAACGACCCAAAGGGGCGTGGCACAAACGCAACCCGGTCAGATAATCAGTAGCTCCAACTTGGCCCCCAATGTCCTGGTTACCTTCTGGCTGGAGAAAAACCCTCCCAGGAACAGCCTTTGGCTGCAGGGAATCAAGTCCAAAACATGGTCAACAAAAAGTGTAACTATAAGTCCAAACAAGGCAAGAGGAGATAATTTGTTTGGCAGGGCAAGAGAAGGAATTCCAGACGTGAAGGAATGATAGTAATTCAACACGGTTGAGAGGATGCCAGGAACGCAGATAAGCAAAGTCAACACAAGATAAACTCACTTGGCTGCCAGCGGCTGCCACACTCGGCATGCATCTCTTTTAATCTCCCTTCCCAGCTGTGCCTAACGAAGGGAATCAGGGCCCTTTCCTCCCCCGTAAGCCACCCAACTCATGTTGCTCCCTTCTCCGTTCCTCCCTGCGTGCCCTAGGATGAAGAGGGAGGTGGACCTGGGTCTTCCTCTGAATTCCCTCTCCCTTGTTCTCCCTCTGCCCAGCTGGACTTTGCCCTTCCCCAGTTTCCTCCCCAGCCAAGGGAGCCACCCTCCCACTCCCTGTCAGCTGTCTTCCTCCTTGGATTCAGACTCCGAGGGGGGGCGGGGGAAATGACACCTGGGGTGGTCTTTTTTACTTTAGCTTTTGCACATCTTTGGACTGCTAGTAAATTCTTGGGATAAATACGTACTGGTGAACTCAAACGTAAATCCTTTCTTGTTTGTACCCTGAGAGCATTTGCACCATAGACAAATTCCTTGTGTGTCCAATCACACTTGGCCAATAAAGAATATTCTGTTCTATTATCTACCTACCTACCTATCTGTCCCCTGTGAATTATGAAGCTGCAGAGTTTTAGGGAAAGGAACTAAGGGGGAGGAGAATAATCTTTGGTCAGGATCCCGCCGCTCGGTTGAGGCACAAACGCTGGAAAGGCCCTGCATTTTTGCAAGAGGTCCCTTCTTTGCTTTTAAGCTCCTCGCCAGGGCACCAAATTAATTTTGAGCGATTTGTGGGGTGCCCTCCGATCTTGGTGATTTTCTTGCAGATGTTAGTTACCCAAACTAGGTAACTGTCCTCAGTGCCCGAAACCCCTCTCTTTGACCCGCACTGATGACGTTACCCAGTTGGGTCGTGCAAGGTCTGCAAAAAAAAACCCCACTCAACTCATTTCAACCCTGAGCTACAAATATGCTCCTCGATCGGTTGAATTAATTAGAAGGAAGCAGGAACATCTACAAGGGAGGGGCTGCCATAGATAGATAGAAAGATAGATAGATAGATAGATAGATAGATAGATAGATAGATAGATAGATATAGATATATAGATATATAGATATAGATATATATAGATATATAGATATAGATATATACATATATACACACATACACACAAGGGCAAGGTTTCAGTAGGATGGCTGCAACCCCCATCTTCATTTTGGAAAGGAAGTCGAGGCGACCTCTCACATTCGCGGCTGCCAGCAAAGCTCAAAAGATGACCTGGGACCAGATACCTGCCTCTTGGGGGTCCATGAGGACGAGGTTAGAATCCAGGGGGTCCTTCTGACCCATCTCAAACCGGAGCAAATGACACATTCAGTGACACGCCTTCCAATGAGCCGTTGACTTTCTGCTGCTGTTGGGAAAAAGAAAAAAAAAAAACGTTCCAGCTTCACAGCTGAACTCCATCCTGGTTGCTTTTACTGGTGGACTTGACCCCCAGTTGACCATTTGTCAAAGCGGCTCCTTTGCCGGCTGCGCCTCCCCTCACCCTACTCTCTTACGATCCCCCCCCC